CCCTTCTGCCCAAGCCCTTGGAATGGCCAATCTTTTGTTGGCAATGACAACGCTGGCTACATCAAAGAACTTGAAGCATCCTTCCCTTGGAATAATGTCATTATTCATATATTGGCAAGTGGGGGTGGAAAACACACCAATGTTTCATGGGACAGCCCTGCTCTGGGAATTGTCAAGTGTCCAACATTTTAGCTTAGCTTCTCAGCGCAATCCAGGCTTCCTAGTGGCACATGGGTTGGATACTACTGCCACATACATTTGTAACCTGGTTCTTGCACAAACCAAGTTGTTCATGTCGGACTTGTGCTACGAGCGAGCTGGGAAAAGCTCACCCTCCAGAATCACCCTCCGACGTGATTAACGACCTGAGCCTTTGATGAGGCTCCAAGCATGTTTCCCCATTATGAAGAGTTTCAAAGCAGCAGAAGTGACGAGATTTATGAGCTACATTGCTATGCTTTATTCTAGCTACGCAGGCAGAAAAGAAATATACATGCTCTCTCTGTGAAAGCAGAGAGCAACTGAAACAAAGGAACGGGAAACCAGTAAACATCACATCCGTTTCCCATCTCCTGTGAGACTTCCAACAGTATGGAATCTCTGGAATGTAAACAGAGTCTTGTGACTCCAAGCACTGCACAGTGGCAACACACAGAAACCAACAGTTCACAAGTCATAGAAGCCAACTCCTAGAGGGAGAGATTCCTTCAGCCCCTCCAATAAAATATTTCAGGGGGGTTGCCCCCCCTAGTTGATGGGCATTACCATTCAAATGGTGTGTGCGCACCACCTTGTGATCAATATCTGCCCCCCACCACCACTTAGTAACTGTTAATTACTGTACATGAGCAAATGAACTAGAATGGCCCCACGTTTCCCGGGGATATTTAATGAAATCTGGGGACATTCTGGGGAAGAAATTTGTCTGGGGACATATTTGCAAATCCGGGGACTGTCCCCGGGAAACGGGGATGTCTGGTAACCCTACTCTTGTGGCCACTGTGAGAAGAGTATGCTGGACTAGATGGGCCATTCACCTGATCCAGCAGAGCTCTTCTTCTGTTTATCTGTTCAATGCATGTGATTTCGCATCTGGTTTGGCTCTTGGAGCTTGTTGTTCCAAGGGACTGGAATGGTGTTGGTAGTGATTTGTGTCTTTCCCCTGAGGGTTTTCCAGGTTAGCCAGCAAAAACTGCCTTGATCCTGTCTGGGCTGCTGCTTTGGTTGGGCAGCCGAGCTGATACTGGAAGTATGTAAAGAACCTCTCTTCTAATTTGCTTTAGGAATGTTTCTTCATTTTTCTGAATGAAGAGAAACCTGTTCCTAGACCAATATAAATCATGAACGCGGTGCTCAAAAGTAAACGGAGTTGCCCCTTAAACATATACAAAGCACAATTGCAATCAATCATTGTGTATATGTTTCTTTCTTTCTTTTGATCAGCAACTAGAAAGAGCATTAAATGCTCACAATGCCAAAATATGTCAGGGGAGTTTGCAAAAAAGCAGAAGTATTTACATCTGAATAAATTATCAAGGGACGTATCGTAACAACTGCTGTAGAAAGATTCATATAATTTGTTTGCAACGTTCCAGGAACCTAACACAAAGTGCTTAGTGTTGTGCTGCTGAGTCTCTGCCTTCCCTGTTCAACACAGTGTATCATACCCTCCAACATTTCTCTGATGAAAATAGGGATGTCCTATTCAAGTGGTTGTTTTATACTCTGCCCGTCTGACTGGGTTGCTGATCTGAGCTACACTTCTTTTATTACTGATGAAGAGTAAGCTACGAAAGCTCATGTGGCAATAAATGTGTTGTTTCTTTAAGGTTCCAGAAGACTCTGTGTTGATCACATCCACACCAGGCATTTAAATCAGCATCACATCACTTTAATTATCATGGCTCTCCCCAAACTGGCTGTCAGTTTCCTCCTCCTTAGCCTCATTGTTGCCCATGCAGAACTCCACATAAGGAAGGGTCCAAATCTAGAATAGGCCATGTTCACACCATAAATTTGAAACACAGTGATATACCAGTTTAAACAGCCATGGCTTCCCCCAAACAATTCTGGGAGCTGTACTTTGTTAAGGGAGCTGAGAGACCCCTATTCCCCTCACAGTTACAATTCCCAGAGTGCTTTAACAATCAATCCTTCTTCCCAGGGAACTCTGGGAATTGTAGCTGAGGGGAATACAAGCATCCTAATAACTCTCAGCCCCCTCAACACACTACAGATCCCAGAATTCTTTGGGGGAAACCATGGCACTGAAAGTGGTATAAGAGTGCTTTAAATGTACAGTGCAGATGTAACTTTGGATCCACGCACACAAACATATATGTATATTGATTTCATCATCATCATCATCATTATTATTATTATTATTATTATTAAATAATGAAATTCAGAATTCACCTGAGCATTTAGGAAGGGTTGTGAGAAGTGGTCCCGAGCCACAGAAGACAAGAGACAAAACAAACACAAAATCTTTCCTGTGCTTTTTCCATCTGCTTCTGCGTTTTACGATGTGCTTGTGCTGATGCCATCTGCTGGCGAAAACAACCGAGAGTAGGGGAAGCTTGTTTTCAAAGTCTTTTTTTTTCTTTTCTTTTTACAGAAATAGGCATGGTTCACTTTTAAATATAGCCTAATGATAAGTAAAATCCTTATTGCAATTCTGGGAGCTGTAAGCCTCCGGTTATTTCTCTTCTATACGCGGAAAGTTTAATTAAATACACACTCCGCTGTTTATATTTTCCTCTCCCTTGAAATGAGCACAGAAGCTCTTATGTCAAAGCAGTGGGCGGAGGGGGAAGGAAGCAAATGCTGATATCTAGAAGCAGAACGGCTTGACTGGTTTTGCTCTACAGCGCTGCAAGCCATCCCTGCATGATGCGCACAGGGATGTCATTCCAAATACATTTCCAACCGTGTGTCACATGGAAGCCTATGTGGGAAGGGTTGGCTGTGCACAGGCTTTCCTGAGAACCTAAAAAGAGCCTGCAATGGCCCAGCTGGTCTAGCATCCTGTTCTCACCGTGGTCAGCCAGATGCCTGAGAGAAGCCCACAAGCAGAACCAGAGTGCAACAGCCCTCTGCTTTCTTGCAGTTTCCAGCTACTGGTCTTCAGCAGCAATTGTGGCAGAGAGAAGTCCAGGGCGGAAACTGAAGCAGGAGAGGTGGGAGGCCAAGAAGCGGAGATGAATCAGGTTGGTGAAGAAGCCAGGGTGTCTCCCCCTCCTGCTACAATAAGCTCCCCTTCCTCACTGACTCCCGGAACTAGGAGAGGCATCAAATGGGAAGAGCAAAGACAGGCATGCAGGCACAGTCTGATTGCTTTGGGGGGGGGAACCCTGGAGAGCAGGAGACATAGCCGGCTGTGGGGAAGTGGGGACGTTTAGTCTCGGCAACTGCCTCATGGGGGCAAGACCTCAGTGCTCATTAAGCCTGAGATCCGGTTTTGTAAACAAAGAGTTAACTCCAGCTTGCTCAGTGTGATTTACTGCTGGCTTACTCTTGTCCGCCACTCACAGGAGCATAAGCCACTGGGGGACCAAGCAGAAGTAGTTAACAGTGGGGAAGGCAAAGGGGTGTCAGCTCTGGTATGCTGTATGCTGAATAAGTTTGGCAGAATGACGTGGTCACTGCCTCTTTAAGATGGGCTGGTAACAATCTTTCTCCCACAAACTTCATTCCAGTTCTGAGATGTCAGCAACAATCGCTTTTCTGTAGAATATGCTGCAACTTCCCCATGTTGGGCAAACGTTACAAGCCATAAGTGACAAGTTGTGCAGAGAAATAGCCTCTGTATGCAAAAAGTTGTCTCAGAAGCTCAGTGATTTTACACGTTTTTACACGGGAACAAAAGCTGCTTTGCGTTGACTCCCCCTTCACCCCCAAACCTAAATTTAAATCGGGACAAGCCAGTCACATGAAGCCTAAGACCACGTGCTGAAATCAGCATGGGCTGGGATGTGGGGCTTTCCGTTGCAATTGCCAGTTTTCAAGCAATTGTAGTGGGAGTGCCAAGCAGCCAAAGCCATGTGCTGATTCCAGATACCCTGGACTGAACCCAGCAGGGGCTGACCTTTTCCAATCTCTGTCACATGCTGAGTGTGAATCTGTGAGAAGTTCACAAAGGCATCGTTCTGAACAAAGCTCTCCAAGGAAAGCAGATTGCGTGCAATAACAGCTTGTATCATATCCGTAAGGGAAGAGAGGGAAGGGGAAAGCCATAGCTCAGTGTGGCAGGACACATGCTCTGCATTCAGAAGGTCCCAGGTTCAAGCCTTGGCACTGCCAGGTAAGCGTGGGAAATTCTCCTTTCTGATATCCAAGGGAGCTGCTGACAGTCAGTGTAGAGAATGCTGTAGTATTATATAGATGGATATCGAGGGGCAGACGAGGCTCATCAACCTGGGAATGTAGCCCATCTAGGGGAAGGAAAACTCTAATCCATGGATATGACTGTAAAACACACACACACACACACACACACACACCCCTCTGCCTCAAAGTGTTTACAACAAGAATAAAACAATGAAATTATCAGCCAAAACCAGTTAAAAACAACCATTGACAACATTCAGAAAAATGATTAAAGTCAACAATAAGCTGAAAACCATATTAAAACTCATGTCAACATTCTCGTAGGCTTGCTTAAACAAAGTTCCCTTCTAGAAGTCTCAGAGCGATTACTAATGGATGAGCCAAATTTCATCTGAACAAATCCAGTAACTTCCAGTATTTGAAACTTGAGAAACTGAGGCCCTTATTTGAAGTTAATTAAGCAAGCAAGGGTTTTCAGACCATGACGGCAGAGTAGGACTTCATTCCTATGAACATTTACCTGGGTGGAGCTTCCTAGATCTTACTTCCAAACAAACACACATAACAATGCGCAAACACGCAAAACAACGCGCTGCACCAATGGAGACTGAATGACTTGACTTGCCAAGAAGGAGTTTTAAAAATGCTAACTTTTCTCTATCATCCTACAGAAAGAAATTCCCCAGCAAGATGTCAGACATTGGAGCATTATGGTCACACACCATCCCAACATCATGTTCACTGGTATTAGCAAAGCTGTGGGGCCTAATTCCCCAGGCAGTCAGGAAGACTCAACACAAGAGCCCCTCTCTTATTTCTTCCCCCCAACGGCCTCCTTTCCTCCTGTCTTTTTAACTTACCTGGATGAAGCTGCGAATTCTCAGGTAGCTAAGAACATTTCATTACAAGGGGTTTCTTTTCTTGCAGATTCTTTTGTACCACCTAAAGTGACAATGAATTAGATTTTCTGAATTTCAAGCTTTTTAAAGTGTGTGGGGTTGTTGTTGTTTTAAAAATGCTGTTGATAATGGAAACTACTTAACAGAAGAAGGGGAAAAGCTACTGAAATGTTCTTATGCAACACAGATGGGCAACCTGTGACTCAGGAGCCCCCCCATGCGGTTTCTGCCTCCTCCTGAACCCACCATTCTTCCATCCCTTCAGAGTTCACTCCTTCTCGTTCATTTCCTCCTTCTTTTTCCTGACTCCTGAAAACGTGTTTTATTGTATTTAAATATTCATAAACCGCACTTTCGTATAAAATATCACAAGGCAGTATGAAGACTAAAAAACACCACTTTACAATAAAAATGTCAAACACATCACAAAAATGGGCCCTGTAGCTTGTTAAGGGTTGCTGGGAATTGCAACTCTGTGAGGGGTGAACTGCAGGGGCCAGAATTGTTTTGAGGCAAAGAAGGCCATGTTCAAATATATAAAAGGATGTCACATAGAGGAGGGAGAAAGGTTGTTTTCTGCTGCTCCAGAGAAGCGGACACGGAGCAATGGATCCAAACTACAAGAAAGAAGATTCCACCTAAACATTAGGAAGAACTTCCTGACAGTAAGAGCTGTTTGACAGTGGAATTTGCTGCCAAGGAGTGTGGTGGAGTCTCCTTCTTTGGAGGTCTTTAAGCAGAGGCTTGACAACCATATGTCAGGAGTGCTCTGATGGTGTTTCCTGCTTGGCAGGGGGTTGGACTTGTGGTCTCTTCCAACTCTATGATTCTATGATTCTATGATTCTAAGGTGCTTCAAATGTGCTTTGAAGGCAGAGTTTTTACATGTCAGGGACCAGCTGGAGGGGGAGGAGTCCCTCAGAAAAAGCACAGAGGGAAAGAATTTGGATCCTGGGTCCTGGTGGTGGGAAACCGGCCACATCCCAGAGTAGAGGATGAGCTGGGAAATACTGGAAGCTGGGAGCTTGAGGGATAGTGAAGAGGCAGAATCAGACAGGTGCCCCAGCACAGAGCATAGAAAGGAGTTAGGCTTGGCAGTTCTCCCACAGAGCCGCTTTTGACAGCTTCTCTGCTTAAAGCTTGCAGGCCCCTCCAACTCCAAGAATGAGGCAGTTATTGCATGTTGTAAGCGGAGAGCCAGACAGACACAGAAAGGGTCCCTTGGAGCTCACCATAGACAGAGGGAAGGGCTAGGGCATGGGTAGGCAAACTAAGGTCCGGGGGCCGCATCCGGCCCAATCGCCTTCTCAATCTGGCCCGCAGACGGTCCTGGAATCAGCGTGCTTTTACATGAGTAGAATGTGTGCTTTTATTTAAAATGCATCTCTGGGTTATTTGTGGGGCATAGAAATTCGTTCATTACCCCCCCCCCCAAAAATATAGTCCAGCTCCCCACAATGTCTGAGGGACAGTGGACCGGCCCCCTGCTGAAAAAGTTTGCTGACCCCTGGGCTAGGTGAAGAGGGAGCTAAAAGCCAGTCTGGTCAACAGCTTCACCAAGAAAGGAACAACCTTTAGAAGTCTCTGTGTGTTCTTTGTCCTGCTTTCCTTAATAAAGAAACTAACTGCAAGTTAGCCAAGTGTTTCACTCTTTTTCTCTCATCTCTGAATGACCTGCTCTCCTTGTTGGCTCCCTGACAGAACACTATAAGCCTGACCAAATTTTACAGTTGTTAGAAGACATCTTAGAAATGAGCAGGGATAGCTCCTGCCAAACCTATAATGGCTAGGAGTTTGACAGGGCAGGGTCTGCCACATGGAAATCTTGGTTACTGGTAAATGCCAGCTGAACCTCATGTGGAAGGAGTGGCAAGCCAACAGTGGGGTAACCTTCTGAGTCCCCCTATATCGACCTACTACGACAGAAGAAGAAATGTTTTATATACTGTTGTCTTTTACGCGAAGTTGAGCCTGTCACACCTGTCTTATTATAGTCTGTTTTATGCACGAATTAGATCAAAGCCATTGTTGGTTTCAATCAAATTGTTGAACGAGTTAATTGGACAATTAATTTCTGAAACAGACCAAGGTCCTCACAAAAGGCAATGAGGAGGAGATTGGAGAAACACTGAATTGGAGGCCTGCCCCAGTCACTAAGAGGCATGGGGCCCATAGGCCAGTGCCTACTCTTGTCTATTTGGTAATCCAGCACTGCAGGGATGGAAGAATCTGGCAGTTCTGGTTGCTTTCGGTTTTACATTTTTCCACTCCCTAGTTCAGGACTCTGCATTTCTACATCAGTTTGCAAATCCACCTGCAATTTCATGCAAATTTCTCCAGATATAGACAATTTTGTATGACATTTCTCCTGAATGTAATGCACCTTGAATGCTATTTTCACATATAGCTTTATCCTGATATAAGCATTTTTGTACATGCTCCTCATTGCATTGCAGCATTCAGAGAAAAGCAAATTTCCCTCGGCTGCAATCTAACAGGAGCAGGAAAATGGAGGGACTGGGGCAAGCTCATCTAATTTCTTTTGGTTTGCCTCAATAGGTACGTTGTCCCGAGGAATGTTCATCCATCTGGGCTGTCTGGTTGGGCCTGGAGAATGTTTTAGCTCCATGCATTTTCTTTTCTTTTGTTTCTTATTTCATTTATACCCCGCCTTTCCTCCAAAGAGGAACACACAGTTGGTACACACACAGTTGCCCCCTTCCCTATTTTTCCCTCACAGCAACTGTGAAGTAGGTTAGGCTGAGAGACCATGACTGGCCCAAGGTCACCCTGTGAGCTACATGGCTGAGTGGGGATTTGAACCTTGGTCTCCCCTAGCTCAACACTTTAACCTGCCAAACAGTGAGCCGACAGTAAATCACACCGTTCAAAATAGTAGTTAACTATTTATTAGCAAAAACACAATCTCCACAGTCTTGGCTGAGTGTCAGGCCTAATGGGCACAACAGCTCGTTCCCCGTGGGTCTTGCTCCATGAAATCAGTTGCTGAGACAGAAAGTCACCGCCTCTCCACAGCCTTCTATGTCCCCTCCTCTCCAGGGCTTTCCCCAGGCAATCAGAGACTTTGCCCGCGTGCAGCCTGTCACTGCTCCGCCCATTTCAGCCCTCTTCTGGTTCTGGGAGACAGTGGGGAAGGTAGCTTGTCGCAACAGGAGGGGGAGACACCTGTGAATCTTCACCAGCCGGACTCATCTCTGCCCCCTCTTCCCACTTACCAGCTTTGGCTTCTGCCCTGATTCTGGACTTCTCTCTCTCTGCCCCAGACTCTACCAGCTCATTAACCCCTGTTACCCCTTCAGCTCCTGACACCTCCTCTTCCCATTTTCCCCCCTCTTCTTCCTCTGACCACTCATTGTTGTCCTACCACCAATTCTCAGGCTCTGAGCCTTGCTGCCTTGATGGTTCCCCAGCTGGCTCCCCCTACCATTCCTCTGCGTCCAACCAGTCCATAACATAACCTTGGTACCACACTGGCTCTCAACACAAATGACCCCAGATTCAATCCCTGGTTTCTCCAGGTACAGCTGGGAAAATCCCCTGCTTGAGGCTCTGGAGGGCCACTGTCAGGCACTGCTGCTGAGTCTGACAATACTGGTCTCAGTAGACCAAGTCTGGAAGCTTCTTATGTTCTGGAAGCTTCTTATGTCCCTCCATGTGTTTATGTATGCATATGTTTTATGTTTTATGGTAAGAGAGCTTCTACTTCTCAAGCAAAAATTGTTGATTCAGATGATCCATAAGTGGCTTGATGGATTTTACTGGACTAAAACAGGCATATGAATTCCAGGAAGTGTCTCTCTTTATGCTGTCAATGTCTCTACTTCAGGCTGTCATTATGTCCTTTCTGAAGCAAGGGTTTTTAAAAAAATTATTATTTCCATGTCAGTTGCACATCCATTTAGGAAAGAAAAATAGAAATCAAAGTATCTAACTTCAAAACACTTGTACAAAAGGCTCTTGTCCTTTTTTATTATTTGTAATGTATACCATGCACAAAACCTATGCCCAAATGTAACTCATTTTTTTTTTGCTTACTGGGAGGAAATAACAACACCCAGTGGCCCCAATCCAGCTTTGTCATGTTCCATTTTGTGTGTGATTAGTGGAGCTGAATAGGAATGCATTTGATTTGTGTACTTTAACCTGCATTTTGGCAATCCTGTAAAACATGGTGTGTGTGTGTGTGTGTGTGTGTGTGTGTGTGTGTGTGTGTGTGTGTTTACATGCTTTAAAAATATGGAAGGCTCAGTGATAGAGAATCTGCCTTGTGTGCAGGTTCAATCCTTGGCATCTCCAGGTAGGGCTTGGAGAGACACCCTGTCTGAAACCCAGGGGAGCAGCTGCCAGTCAGGGTGGACAATATGGAGCTAGAGGGACTGGCTTGGTATAAGGCAGCTCCCTATGTTCCAGACAAAAATACCAAATGCAACGATGAAATAAACACTAGCATAAATAAGCAGCGAGAGAAGAACAACTGCTGTAGCAGTTGTGCTACCCAGAAGGTTGTTCCAATGCTAATCCTACTCAGTGTAAACCCATTGAAATTAATGAATTTAGGGTTGCATTCAATAAAGTGCTAAGGCGAATGTCATGTCAGTGCAAGGATTTCTCCTTGCACCGTGGGAAGTTCTCCCCCTCTCTTCCCCGCTGTGTGACCCCTAAATATGTTCTTCTTCCCACCCCCAACCCTCTAGATTTGGGGACTGTACAGGGTACGTGGAAGGGAAGGAGAGGGTGGGTAAGTCCCACTGCATTTGAAGTAATCCTTGAGCAGGCACAATCATTAAGTTGGAGATTGTCCTTCGGTACATTAATTTCAGTGTGTCTACTCTAAGTGTGAGGCAGATGGGGCTCGTCAGCCTGGGAAGGTAGCCCATGCAGGAGAAGGAAAACTCTGGTTCTAAATCTCCACTGCCTTTTCTGGGAGAAGAAAAGGCTAAGGAGCAAACCCTACACAAATCTGG